CTCGCGCGCGGGAAGCCGCCGCTCGGGCCGCGGACTGGGCATGCTCGGCGGCCGAGGCTCCGGCGGCTGGCTGGAAGCTTTCGCACCAGCGAGGCAGCGGCCGGGGCAGCGGCGGCTGGAGCGGGCAGGGCGGGCATCGGGAGGGCCGGCCCGGGAGCTGCTCTGCCCTTGGGCCCGGGAAGCCAGCCGGAGAGCGCGATCGGGCTCGGAGCCTCGACGCGACCCTGCCCCGCGTTTCAATCCGCGGCGGGGGGCTCAGCGAGCGGCATTCCAGCAGCTGCCACGACTCCGACGCGAGTGAGTCGCGGAGTGGAGGCCGAAAGCCGGCCTCCGGGTGGCGGGGGAGGGGGTGGGACCGGGGGCCGCGGCCGCGGGCCGGGCCTGAGCCGGGGGCGGCGGGCGGCCCGGGCGAGGGGGCGTGAGCGCAGCGGCGCGGTGTGCTCGCGTACCTGGCGGGCGCTTCCCGGCGCCGCCTCTGCCCTAGCGGAGGGTCGGCTTCGAGGGGGCGGGCCGCCGGCGGGCCCCCGCCAAACCGGAGCGGGGAGGAAGGCGGAGGCGTCCGTGGCCACCTTTTCCGAGGTGCTGCGTGCAGCCTGGAAGGCTGCCGGTATTCTTTTGGGGCGAGCGACGGTGGCGGGGCCGAAGAGCGGGTGGCAGGGGCCTTGGGGCTGCGCCCGCCCTGCGTCTGGGGCTGCGCCGGGGCCGACCCTCAGGTCTGGCCCTACCCCCACAACCCCGGCGGCGACGTGACAGTTGGGACCCCCGGCCACGTCGCGGCCGGCCAGGCTTCGGGGATTCCCCCACCACCGACCCTAGGTGCCCCTCGACGACGGAGCAGGTGGGCCCCTTTCCTTGGGCTCCTTGCTTCTTCACTCCAGGGCGCGCCCGGAGGGAAAGCCTGGAGGGGCCGGCAGGGCAGCCCGGGATTGGAGGTCCGGATTGGACGCTCCTCTCCCGCGGAGCGAGGGGTCTTGTCAAGGGCACAGCAGCGACGCCGACAGCCTCTCCCTCCAGGTGAACCCAGCTAGCCTGAGGCTTCGTCTGGTGGGCTGGGTAGGGTGCCTGGGTTCAGCTAACGGATTCGGTTCTGCTTAACGTTTGTTCCCTCTTCGAGTAAAGATTGAGGGCGGCTTGCCGTGGACAGAAGGAACGAAGGAATCCAGGCAGGTGCTTCTCGGATGTTTCTTTTCACCTTCAGACAGTACAGATTTAAGCGGCACACGCTTATGAAACCAAGAGGGAAAGCTGCTTTCTGAAAAGGAAATTTATTTTCTGTGTCACTGGGCCTGCCTACTATTTTAGCTCTCCTGACGTTTACCTGCCCGGGCCTTTAAAGCTGTCTGGGCAGGTTAGTTTGTTTTTTGCTTGGGAGTAAATATAGTGGTGAATGCCAGTCCTGCTGTGCTGTAAACTCCCTACGCTTCCTGGGGAGTGGGGGCTAAACATTCTGGCGGGACCAAGTGGGCAGAAAAAGAGGAGTGGGACTGGTGACGTAGGAACGGGAAGGGAGTTGCCTGGGGCTGCCCAGACGTAATAGGGTTGGCGGCTGTGGCGCTGGCGGAGCCGAGGGCTGGGCCTTTCATTGGTCCGGGTGTAGCATGTCCACGAGAGAAGCCGGCGGGGGGAGGGGTGCCTGTCTGGTCAGTGCTTCAAGGGAAGCCCGGGGATGTTTGGTGATTCAGCAGGTGGCGTTCTTCCAGCTCTGAAGCCATGCCGTGGCCAACCCGGCAGGCAGCAGAGCCTGCGCCTGCTGTCGTAGGTGCTAGCTTTGGGGGAACCTCCAGGAGCTCCCTTTGCCTCTGGCAGTTCATTTTCGGTATCCTGCTTCCTTGCTGGGTGTGGAGGCCCTGATCCTTTCACTTGTTTCTCCATCTTTCAGACGTGCTGGTTAGCCGGAGGTCTCAGCTGCTACCATGCAGTTCAGGTAGTTATTCTGTAAATAGCCCTTCCCTTGTATTTCTGCTTCAGAGGCTACAAATTATATTTTTAGTGAAATATGTTTGTGCAGCTCTTGAGTTGCTGATAGCAAAATATCTGGAAATATTAAAAAAATTAATTCAAGGTACGGAATAAATTGGCATTAAAGGGACACATTTATTAAAACATTGTTTTATTCATTGGGGGCATCTTGTACAGTGCCTGACTTGTGCTCAGTATAGGCTAATTCACCTGAAAATTTCGAAGTTTTTCAAAGTTGAAGAACATATCTGTATGCATTTTATTCATCTTTTTTTTTTTCACCTGTAGATGGAGTTGTATTGTCAACATTTTTAGAATAAAGAATATACAACACTGTGTGCTTTGCCACTTGAAGGAACTTAGTATGTTTTTATAATTATAGTTGCCTGTGTTGACTCTTCAGTTTTACCTTGAAGATGCAATTCTTTTATCTTTTCTTAATTTGTAAGTTTTGTTAAAGCTGTTATTTACATTGTGGGAGTTCCTAAGGGAGTCAGAGAAATGGGTATGCTTTAGGTACTGTCTCAGAAGTCTGCAAGACTCTTAGCATAGGACTTGGTCAGTTTTTTGTACAAAGTGCTGCTGGTGCATATCAAATATGCTTTCATTTTTGTTTTTTTGAGACAGCTTTTTAATTTGGACTGGCTTTGAATTCACTAGATAGCACGGGCTGGCTTTGAATCTTCCGAGCTCAGCCTCCCAGTGTTGGGATTACAAGGTGTTCCACCATGCCTGGCCAAATGTACTTTAACTTTTAAAACTTCATTTGCTACAAAGCGTTTCAGAAAAACTGTCAAATTCCTAACATTTACCATCCAATGAAAGGTCCTGCTTTAGAAAAGAATGAAATTTTGTGAGTAAAAAATTTTGAGTTGTTTACATAAATAATATAATTATTATTGCTCTATAATTATAATTGCTCTCTAGTTTCTGGTAAGAGGTATGGGTTCGCTCTTCTGCCACTTACTTTGGTATTGTTACTTCCTCCAGTTGTTTAGCTATTTCTTTTTCTCCCAAAGACGTACTTTCCTGGTATGGGCTTGTTTATTTAAATTAAAGCTTCATTCAGAAAGATCTGTGCATTTTCTTACATAAATTCAGTCAGTGGTAATTTTAATTTCTTGATTGTCCAGTACACTTTATCTCTTTATATGACTATTTGGTCAGTAACCATTGGAAAATGCAGTGGCCATTGTGCCTCTGTGTAGGCAAGGCAGATTATGATTGGCTTTATCTTTGCTTGTTTTAGATAGTCAAAGAGACTGCAGTAGTCAAAGCAGTCTCTCTGGAGGAACTTTCATCACATGTCTGATCGTAAAGATTTTGGTTTTTCTTTAAAGGCTTTTGGGTAGGAATAGAAATGTTTTTTTCTTGTCTTTTCCTATAGTCAAGAGGCCTACTGTTAAGTTTGCTACTTTCATGAAGCTACCTAATGACAGTAAGACCATATTTTTTTGATCAGTGCAGTTTGATGTGGGAGCAGGAGCTGAGTGGACAAAAAAGTGAAGAGAAGGCAGTAGCGGGTAGGGAGCTACGAGAGGTCTTGGTTTTGTAACTGGATGGGTGACTTCTGGTTTCAGTAAATACTTCAGGTTTCATTCCTGTCCCAAATCTGTATCTTTATAGGCAGATATACCACATGTCAAATATATATAAACAACTACTGAGAGATACAAACAGAGATCCATAGACATAAAGTCATTTGTGATTTGTGGTTGTGGGGCAGACCTCAGAAGGCACACACCCTTTGCCAAAAGTCAAGGTTCTCAACTTCTTGGCTATTAATGTCAAAGAGGGAAATTAGGTCACAGTTACAGGTTGGATTCCAGGGAATTGAAATCACCCATGGTTTGTATTTCAGAGATTCTCCTCCATTTTCAGTGCCAGTTGATCTGTCCTTTAATGATGCAAAGTTACTGGAGGCTTGAGCTGACACAGCTGTTGCTTGTGAGTGCAGGTGTGAGAGGATTTAGAGAACTTGGTAGTAGACTTCTGGTGCTGAGAATCGATTTAGCATGCCTTGTTCTTCACATCAGATCTATTCCCTCTTCTGTCAGATGAGATTTCTCTTGAGTGATACAAACGTTCTCAGGTATGTATGTATTCTTTTAAAGTTCTTGATTAATTTTATGTTTTTGATTTGCATAAGTGGAACTGATTTCGTTTGACATTTTCAGATATTCATGAAAATTGAAAGACCTTTTTTTATTTGTGAGATTCATGTTGTTATGGGTTTATCCAGTTGCATGGCCATGGCTGCTGGTTTTTAGGACTGGTCAGATATATGTCTACTACATTTTCTTGCCCATTTTACAAGTGATGGATACTTATCTCCACAGCTGCGGTAATGAGCATCCTGCTTCTGTTTTCTTAATGATGTATATGAGAGTATTTCTAGGATGGTAGTTCTCCAAGTGTGGTCCATACGCAGCTGCATCAGTATTACCTGGGGAACTTGTTAGAAATGCAATTCTAGAGCTGAGTCAGAAACTTTAGGGTAGATCCCATTAATTTGTGTTTTAACCTGGCCATCTTGAAACTGTTGATGCAGGAGAAAGTTTGAGAACCGCTTATACCACTTTAAGGGTATATGCTATCCCTATGAGTAGGATGGCTGGGTAATAAAGCACTGCAGTGTACACACTTTAGCATAGGCACAGAGCTGGATTATGTGTGCACACGAGTGCATGAGGGTACAGATCCCCACGTTCTTGCTCTGACCTTAGTCATCTATCTAATTTTACCAACATTTTGTGGCTGTCTAGTGGGATCTGGTTGTTTTATTGTGAATGCCTGTATTTCTTAGTGAATTGGATATGTGTTTACTATATTTCATTGTATTTGTTAGCCATTATGATTTCCTTGACCAATCAGTTTTTCTTTTAATGTGTTGATTTGCAGATGTTTCTTGCATATACCAGATAGTAACCTCATCCTGTCACCTGTCTATTAACTTGGTCAGTGGTAGCTTTAAAAAAGTTTTAGTTTTCTAAAGTCCAAGTCCATTAAAATTTTGCCTTATGTTGCACGTTAGCAATCTTAATACTAAGATACCAAGATATTCAATATTCTTTCATCTTTCTAGTTTTATTGTTCACTTTGAAGGCTTTACTATCTTTCATATTCACTTTTATATTGGGCCTAAGAAAAGAATATAGCTTTTTTTCCTTTTTGTTTTGTGAGACTTTTCCCCTATTAAAAAAATGTATTCTTCCTTCATATTTTTTCTGAAACTTTTGTCATACATAAGGTTACCATATATGCATAAGTCTGCTTTTTCAACTTTAAGTAGAGCTCCACTTATATAAAACAACTATAACGAAACGTGTGGTTTGTCTATTTTTGACACATGTGCATAGCTGTGAAACCACCACAGTTGGCATGCAGAGCACTTCCACTGCTGCAGAACTGCTCTTGGCCCCCCTTGCCGTCCATCTCCTCCTTTTATCCTCAGGTTGAATCAAGACTATAGTTGCCAGAAATTTATATAAATAGACTGCATAGTATATGTATTTGGTTCCTTTCACTCAACATGATTTAAAAAGTATTCTTCTTTATTTGTGCAAAAATGAACAGAACAAAATACATAATTCAACCACTTCAGGTATATAATTTAGTAGTACCATGTATGTCTATGTTGTTGTGTGACCATCAGCACTGTGTGTCCGCAAGACATTGTTATTGCCCCAAACTGAAACTGGTCCCATTAAGCTCAGCCTGCTGAATTTGAGATTCCTCATGAAAGTTTGTTTTTTTGCATTTGTCCTTTATTTTGTTCCAGTCTTCTGTCTGATTCAGTGTCAGATTCTTATTTCATTATAGTTTTGTGGCCTGGAAGAGCCCCACTTTAGCTCTTTGTCAGACCCCCACCTGGGTATG